TTCGTAACACGCATCAATGGAGTAACTGGGAAGCAGTGTTCTCTGTGAGGTTCGTGTGAGCTACGTGATGCAACAAAAGAACTGTTAGAAAAAGGTGTTTTCTATGCTGGTCCGTGCCGAAGCTATGTAAAAAGGAGCAACTGCGACTACGAGAGTCTTGAGACGGTAGTTAGAAGAGTAGGAGTCAGTTGTGAGACAGTCACCAGGCAGTAAGGACACGGAAGCTGAGGAAGCTACGGCGTTCGAAACCGTTGACAGGCGACAACCGATGAAGATACAGCAGACTGAGAAGACTTAGTGTGTGCTGTAGTGAGTTTTACGAGTAGAGTATGTGAATTAGCGATATTGCTATAGTTATTTGTAATAATATCTCTTAGAGTTCAATAAATCCAATTACCAATCCAGACCCCGTCTATAGACGATCGCGTGACAATAACTATATTGTGACATGTTCTTAAATTGTAATGCTATTGTGTGTTCCAGTGATTTGTGTTGCAAATGAGTAACGTTTACTTCAAAGTGAAATGCAGTATTCAGCAGAAGTAACACACTCTCTCATGAGGCAGATAACAAAAAGCGAACTTAGTTCCAGTGAAGACATAAAAAAGTAAAATTTCTTGTCTTGAATTCTGTTTATAAATGAACGTTATGACATGTTTTATACAAACTTTTCACTAAAGGAAATTCTCAGTTTCCTTTTGAGCCGTCGTCGATGTATTATTGTGGTTGTTATTGTTATTTCACGATAAAATGTAATTTTTTCTTTAAACCTGTGACCTCAGACGTTACAGGCAGGGAGGACGCCTTGTTATTGGACACCCCAATATAGACTCTAACTATAAATACTGAGAAAACAACACGCGCTATAATATACTGTACATCGAGAATGCATCTTATGTTTTTTCCTTCAATGTAACCACTATATACATATAAAAGATTGCACGCATATACATACATTATCCCTCAGAACTTTAAAATAAATTTAATTAACATTGTGCTTATTTACACACATATATACCTAGTTTCTGTGTGTCAGTTATGCTACCACAAATATAAATCTGATTTCGAAAACTAAAAACGTGTGTTAACTTTATAACTGTGTACTAAGAGACAAAAAAAAATTGCGGTTAAGTTATATGTCGTAGTTTTATTATTAATGTCAAAAAGAACACAGATTTATACCACCGTGTAGCAGGAGACTGATAATTATGATTCCTGTTGCTCTTTGATGAATGCGGAGATCACATAAACCGTACATTTTGTTCTTCCATAACTTATCGGAGTAACAGGAATATTTTGTGACATCACAGCACGGCGGCAAAATGAAATATCACTCTCAGAAACTATCACAAAAATTGCCGTCCTCTTATATTTGACAGAGATGTGTTTGTTTCGAAATGAATTCTAAAGTGAACTTACTGTGGTGTGACATGACATGAAGCACCAACTGTGTTTTGTTAATGCGAGTACAGCATCGATACCTGAAGTACTGACCGAGACTCTGTGGTCCATTCGCATGCGTCTTGTTCGCTTGTCAGCAGAACACGCTTTTACTTATGCTCGTAAATCGTCGTCCACTCTACTTCAGTTGCTCGCCAGGCTTCGGCGCGTGAGGATCCGTATATTTACTCGTAGTGTGTATAGGCTATCGTCGTATTTGAATTTTTTGGCTATAGTTTTTAAATAAAAAAATTTAAATTTGCTTGTCTCGTTACTTGTCATATCGTCCACATTACTCGCGAGCAAAGCTAGTCACACGAGCACGAGTACGAGTAATGTGGACGCGCCTTAACAGTGGTAGCGTAGTTGATTGAGACACTGTGCTACAAGCTGGAAGGTCACGGGTTACATATCACGGATATGAGACTATTGGATTTTTCAGTTGACCTAATCCTTCCAGCCGCACTATGACCTTGGGCCGAATCAGCCTCTAGCAGAAATGAGTACCCGAAATCTTGCTGGGGGTAAAGGGTTTCTGGTGCGTAAGTCTGACAACCTCACCGCCATCTGTGAACCAGCTCTCTAGAAAATGTGGGAGTCTCGGCGTGTCACAACCCTATGGGCCTGTTACAGGAATAACCTTACCTTTTCCAGAGAATCCGAAAAAAACAAGACAATGGTTTTCAAACGTAATGTTACACTCCTGAATAATTCGGGATTTTCCATAAAGATCCTCCGGAAAATTGTTTTAGATACATCCCAGTAAATTTTGCGAGAAATTACACGAATTAATTGAAGCATATTGGGAAGAAACGGGCCCTCGTAGCGCTACCAGTTGAACTAGTACAGACTGAGCGAAGGGAGAAAGCCATGTTGGCTTTGACGTTCTCAATGGAATGATTATGACGAGTACGCTCCTCTGAGTTGTAACACAATGTAGTTCGGAGAAAACCCGACATTCTGTGAAACATACCGACTCCGTCTTCAGGGTCGAAAAATAATCAAGCAAGAAACCAACAGAAGCAGGCGGCGTGCTCACATTTTAAGTACGCAGACGGACTATTGTCAAAATGGGTGTCTAATATTGTGATTTTGAGCGACCGGGCGCCGTGTAGTTTACTACACGGTAACGAAACTTTCGGGACAGCCTATTGCCTTCACCTATCCTGAACATGGAGGCATCAGGTTTCTCCAGAGTTGGGGTGTATCCACCAAACTACACGGCATCAAGTCGCCAAACACCCTGACCCTAATATTCACCGAGGTTAAACGTACATATGAAGACTGGTCTTTTTGAAATGATTACCTCGACTTTGAGGTGCTCAGACATTATGTATTTCTTACATTATCTATCTTAAAAATTCTGTTTTTTAAGGGCGCTCTTCTGCTAAACTTCTGTACCTGGTCACTGAGATATGTCTTGACAAAGGGAAAAAATCCGTCTGTAGCTGAAGTGTAGTGAATATCGTGTTAAGTGAACTTGAGTGATTCCAATGCCGTATAATTCCACTCTGAAGACCGCTCCGAAGCACTTCCGTGTTTGGGTTCGGTAATTTCTTTCATATGGAGGCTTGAAAGCAGCAGGAGCATTTCCTTTACCATTAATGTGACTCTGTATTGCATAGCTGGAAATATCGTGACGTCCTTGGTTCATACCTTTGCTACATATCATTAAGTTTTAATCGTACAAGATAATATCTCAAGATGCAGGACCTCGCAGTCGGTATAGTGACTGGCTACGGGCTGGACGACCGAGGGGTTGAGTTCGAGTCCCGGTAGGGTNGGCGGGGGGGGGGGGGGGGTGCTCTTTCCCCAGGGGTAAAGCGGCCGGAGGGTGAAACTGACCACTCACCTGCATGTAGTGCCCAGGTTAGAAAATGTGGATCTATACATCCAATCGCTCATACATCTTCATGGCATAGTGCTTAACTAGTTAAGCACAGGGGCAACTTTACCTTTTTACTTTTACGGAATAATTCTTTCGATGGACAATGGAGATTATGGGATAGATATCCGACATAAGAGTAATGTTACAATGGTCCGGGAATCGCCAAGGTTACTTTTGTGCTTTGGTAAATTTTCGAAACTCATCTTTCTAAAAAAGGACGCTCAACGACGTCGACAAATTGAACGAAACGTACTCCGACATTCTACGTGTGTGAGAATCTTTCTTCTTCAGAAACTGTTATAACAAAGACTTCCTTTCTTATACACACGTCAGGCAGGGCTAACACTTTGTGTCCAAGTGTCAGTACGCCTGCAGGCGGCGGAAACTCTACATGGTCTAAACGCACAGGACATTAACATTTTAGATATAAATGTTACATCACGGTTTGTGTCCCACGTATTCTCGAAATAAATGTGCCTTCCTTGTATGATAAACAGCAGCGAAGGACGAGAGATAGTTTTAATTCTTGTGGAATCTGGCAGCGTACGCTTATTTCAATATATTAAATAATAACGTTTACTTACGGGAACCTGAACGCAACCAAGAAGGGTTAATGGGCTATACACCTAGATAAACGAGATATACTGGACGCCCAGAGATAGGTCCGAAGGAACATTGTATCTTACAGAGGAACGGAACGGACTGAAAGGTCCGTACCTCAATGATTATAAAGGCTAGACAGCTTTGAACAGAGAACATATTCTCGATCACTCTTCCTAGACACTTCTCACAGGAGTTACAATCCATCAGATTTAACCCACGTTCATCCCCCATTACACTTTTCAAGACGCGATTGTACATAAGATCCGCTTGTTCTATCCGATTCTATACAATTAAAAAGCAAAATCGATAATTTTCATTTTCTCTCACTTACCATCTCTAAAATCAATGCGGAATCAAAGCTTTCACATAGACTTTTCTTTGTGCTTTTCATACCATAATCTTCTTCGCTCCTTTCATCCTGCTTCTTTCCCACCCATTTTATTTGTCCGTCCTATGGTTACAACTCTGATCTGTGCTATGTTGAAATACGGAATTTAATTGTCTTATCCTTGAGATTACGCCGTTTCGGATATATAACTGTCGGCTGCTTGTATGTGAAAATTGCACATGTTTGCCATTTCCGCGTTTCTCCGTGATATGCAAGGAAACTGCTATTTATGTATGGGATTCCGTTATTAAGAGCACCTTGTATGTAGACATAGGGTTCCGTCGAGTCGTGGTGATTTAGTGTGGAGTGTAACACTGTTATAACTCAAGACTGTTGTGTCAGGAATCTGTTTGAATTGACGAACATAGAGGTTGTGTTCTTTTGTGCGTCAGAACCCACTTCTTTCTGTGGCAACGTAAAAATTGTCGCGTGGACATGCCGTTTAAAGAATTGACTCCTTAATACTCGTAATTGCGTTTACTTTCGAAATGTAGAAATAGCTTACTACGCAAAATTTAATTTTCGTGAATAAAACTATTTTTAAGTTCCAGTGTTTATTCTGAAAATGTTTTCAACGTGTATAGCTAAAAAAATAAGATGACCAGCTAAACACGTTGTATTTTAATGTTGCTTGATTCTGAAGTAAGGATTTTGTGGAATGCTTTAAACCCACGGCAAGCAAGCATATGAATTATTTGATTGATAGTACGGAATTTCCTATATAATTCAAATATCCTACGGGAGGTGGTGTAAATGCGGATGAACGCTGCATGACGCAGCGTTTGGGAGGCTGACTCAGGTGTCGCACAATTTGTTCGCTGTGTTTGTTTTCTCATTATCGAACCGAGTGTGAGGTTTAGTTTGCGGAGGTACAGAAATACACAGAGAGAGAGTCAGTGGTTTCACAGTGTCTGGACCAAACCTCAGTCTCCGGTAGATTGCTGTCAGAACATGGACGACGACGTATCAGACGAAGTGAGAAGCACGTCCCCTTGATGCTGACGACCCGTTAGACTGTTTGCGTTCGCGTCGCAGTGAGAGACCGCCGCCGACGCCGCCGCCGTCGTCGTCGTCCCGCTGTTCACCGTCGGCGTGGTTCTGTTCACCAACATCACAGCGTCTGCACTCAGACCCAGAATCTTTGCACTGTGTTCCTGTGCTTTAGCGCGCAGACACGCGATACTGTTGTTACGGAACTCCTCCGGGTCGGTCGTGTGTGCTAGCTGCAGGGCTGGTGATTGATGATTCTGATGGTCAATTTGATGCTGAAGATCTTGAAGCCGAATCTGATGCATTTCCTTATTCTCTGCGGCATTGTGATTCAGCTGGGACTGTTGTTGTTGTTGTTGTTGTTGTTGTTGTTGTTGCGGTTGTGACGAGGAGTTGTTTGCGCTGTTATCGCTCTTGTCTGTCGTCATGGAAGACGTCTCGTGTTGGTCCTCCTTATCCGAGTTGCAGCCGTCGTCCTTCAGCTGTTCTGCAGCTTCTATCGATTTTCGGTGCATCCCTGTACAAAGCAGACACATTTTCATATTAAAAGGAGACAAGTGCGAACTGGCCGTCAGAGGCCGCAGACATTATGGTGTTGCTGCGCACCGAACAGAACAAGTTTGGAGGAGAAGTCTCAAAGAGATCGCTTTATGCATGAAATTCTGTTATATGCGGAATACGGGACCGGTTACCAACGTTCCGCTGCTCGCGAGACACTTGGTTTACTCGTTTCATGTGTCATATTTAGGATTATATATAAATAAATATATATATATTTATATATATATAATAGTATAAATTTTATTTATATATAACTGAACATACTGTTTAAAAATATAAAATTATCATAAGTTACAAGGTGACGAAATTGAGTTACAAATATCAATTCAAAATTTAGACAGTAGCGTGTTTTTTACTTTATATAAACATTTTTCATTCGAAATCCTCGCGGGTCACTTCGTAGAAGCCAGCGGAAAATGGGTTGGGAACTGCTGTCATACCCGATGATTGAAGCCCAGAAACCTAGTGGGATCGCAATCAGGCGTCAGTACCCTATAGACTAGACTTAAGTGATACATGGCTTGTGGTCACCATTACTTTGGTGAGCCCCAAATATTAGCATGTAGCAGGAAAATAAAAGAAATGCATACAAAATTGTGATCGAAAAATTAGCGGATAGAGATGACATTAAAAAGGATTTTTAAGAAACAATATGTGAGGCCAGTATTAGTCTTTTGTGAGTACGACCATGAACATTCGGGTTATGTTAGGAGGAGCAACATCTGAACAAGATCCTGACCAGCTTCTAAACACTACGGGATGATTTGACATTGTCACAGCGGCAAAGGTTCAGAGTGTGATGTTCTTGGCTGTGGTACCGTGCAGTCTGGTAAGTAGCACCAAAAGAAAATGACAATATGAATTCCTGAACAAGTTTACACAGAAGATGGAGTGGAGGTTCTTACAGCAATGACTTTATAGAGGTCAGGTAACCCTCTTCAGCCTGCATACTGCTTCTGCTGGTTTCTCGCTTGACTTGCTTTCCGACTCTTAAGATGGAGGCGATATGTTCCCCCGAAACGTCGGTCTATCTCCGAACTACACGGGTAATAAGTCGATCAGACGAAAAGAAAATAGAGTCAGCTGAAATGAGGTACATCCAGTAACTGGATAACCTCCGACACATTAAGAACGAATTTACTTACTTACTTATGAAACTGAGTCCTTGAGGAGAAGCCAAATCTGCAGCTACTCAATAATTTACCAGAATTTTATGGAACCCGAAGGTTCATTACCGTGTTCACAAGAGCCCTCCACCGGTCCCTATCCAGAGACAGATCCATACCATCCCGTCCTATCTCTCTAAAATCCATTTTAATATTGTCCACCCACCTACGTCTTGGTCTTCCCAGTGGTCTCATTCCTTCTGGCTTTCCCACTAATATCCTATACGCATTCCTCTTCTCCCCCATTCGTGCTACATGCTCTGCCCACCTCATCCTCCTTGAGATTAAGAACGAATTACAGACGTTAGTTAATGACTGAAAATATTCCGTTTAACTGGGAGAGTAGGAAGGCAGAACTGTTACGGACATATTTTAAGAGTGACAGCAGATTGACACGCGAAGACATTACTGAATTATGATCCCAGAAGGCAAAGAAGCATCCGGCGACCATAAATAGATGGGAGCACATATTTTCTTGGAAGTTGGAAACAGGCCAACGGCCTGTATGCTTGAAGAAGAAGAATAAGACGAAATCAGCGCTTGTAGTCTACGTGGTGTAGAACGCTGTCAGTTGCACGTCTGCCCAGACGTCTTTCAGGAACGCAGAAAGCAATTACGGAATTAAGGTCAGTTTTAAAATCTCGTCGAAATACAAGAAATGGGTTCTAATATTTTAGAAACGTTCAGTACATCGCCACCCTCGACTGCACGCTACCAGCTCAACATCCACACATATTATCATTAGGCGGTACTTCCCCCCGGCTCCCGGGCAAGTCTCCCGTAGTCATGCATCTAAAGGAGGCGTATTCGGCCCCACAAATATGTCACCGCTTTCTCTTGCAGGCTGTAAGCAAAAAGGATGGCACTATTAGCAATGGCTGTCTGCTTCCTCGCCCCCCCCCCTTTCCGTCTTGCCCATGTCGTGCCATTACCAGCCAAACGGGGCATTGTCACTCTGCACAGCGCACGCGTGTATACAAACACTCATGGGTGCATCTCCTGCATTACAAGACGTATACCAGGCGTAACAAAGTCCACGGGAAGCAGTCCTTCTGAGAAGCTGGCAGTAGCTCAGCTGGTCAGGAAGTTTTCCGTTTTTTAAGCAACCTGAAAACTCATTACCGTGTTTATGAGATTAGAGGTCATATTGGAGGTGAGTATCAACAGATGGTCTGCCATCTTCTGAGATGTGACGCCGTTAACTTTGGAAGGGGCCTATCGAAGCTTCGTAGGGAAGTAGCGCCTCCTTCTTCACGGCCGGAGAATAAGCCACGCAAATATCCATCTCTTTGCTTTGCTACTTTTGCTTACGAGGTTAGCTTACTCTTCGATCGTGAAGCTGGAGTCAGCACGTTCCTCCGAAACATCTGTACATGCATACTTCTACCAGACTACACGGTGTTACATCCCAGAATGCAATACACTCTCCTGCTGTGTTCACAAGAGCTCATCAGTGGTCTCTATCCTGAGCCAGATGAATCCAGTCCACACAATCACAACCAAATTATCTGATGTCCAATTTAATGTTAGCTGCACATGCGGGGCTCCCAAGCGGATTGTCGCCTTCAGGCTCCTCGACCAAAATTTTGCATGCATTTCTGATGTTTACAGTGCATGCTACATATCCCACTCTTGTCCTCTTCCTTCACTGGAAGAGACTACAGTAAGCCCTCGCTAATCCGGAGTAATTGGGGAGAGGTAATTCGGATTAGTGAAGTAAGTATATCTATCAAAGACAAAAAAAAACTTGGAACACAAGTAAGTGGAAAGTTTAATGATATAAGAAATGCTGATAAAAACGGCTAAAAATATCACTATAGAGCCTTTATTTAAAAACTACATTTTGTTCCCCTGTGGCGCTACAGCCCCCAATTTGGGCCTAGGCCTACCTCCATGAAACTCAAAAACTACATAGACAATATAATTATTCGTCGATAGAAGACTCAGAAGCTGTACTTGTTTTGGAACGTAATAATATAGGTTTGAAGAAATTGTCAAGTTTCGTCTGAACAGACAAGTGACTCATCTTCCTTCATAAATGCCACGTGTCTTCTAAAGTATGTATTCAACCATGAACAGCATTTTTCATATTTCGATCCTGATTAACTATAACTGGATTAGCGAGGGTTTACTCTGTACATTATCATTCGCGCAAACAGTTATACAAGTTACGAAGCTTTTCGTTGTGCAGTTTTGTTTTAAAGAATGACGTCTTCTGAGATGTGGCGCAATGTACATATAGTGTTAACCGACGTTTCGGAGGAACGTATCGCCTACATCTCCAGGGTATGAAAATCCTATAGAGTGAGCAGGTGGCTACATATTGCAGATTGAGGCGATACGTTCCTCCGAAACGTCAATTAACACAATATCTACACGGCGCCACATCCCAGAAGACGGCATTCTTCATGGTCACCGCCGTGGGAACCTCAAATCTTACACAGTTTTGTTTTAATTTAGGCGTACTTTCGGAGATGTGAATGAACAGAATCCGTGTCATTCCGTGCTGTATGAATCCGCAACTCAACTGAGGGAAGTTAGCAGGTTACACCTGTAACCAAAGCGGTTGCTGTCACTGACAGCGTACAGCGCTTAGTTCTGAACACCATTGAACGTAATGTAAATGTAAGTGTACAACGCTGCTTCACGTAAGGCACTGCAGATACATGAGGACCATACAGTTTCGTATTACATAACAGCTGCGACCTCTACGCACTTACGTGATCATTGCACACAGAATTTTGATTGCGAATCTTTTTGGAAAAAATTCGCTAAGAGATCAATATGTATACGAGACAGAAATATTAAAATGTATATCTGGAGGACAGACAGTGGGGGTGTAAGATGCATGGAATTGCCTCACTATTTTCCACAGTAACGTCGATCTCAAAATTTCGGTTTTTTGTACCGGAGCATTGTAACCATCCAAGTCAACTCGACCTCCTCTCTGTGTAGCGGTAGCTGAGGTATGGATCGGTAAGGATGGGTAACTCAGCTGATAAAATATTTGATTCTATCTAGAAGGTCGCGTTAACGGAGAAACACACCGGACATGGACCATACGGCAAGCCACAATGATTCACTTTGATGTGAAATGTATTTATTTTACTTTACCAGTTTATACCATTTTTCATGGAATCACTTTAAGTAACAAAAGTAATGAGGTGTAATGATGTGCTTGACTTGTACCTCCCATCATTTTAGCCACTATTATTATCAATTATAATGAATTTCCGAAGCCGCAAACACGTCCGTTCACTGGTGGAGTTGAAACAAAGAGCACCTCCGAGGTGACTTCTCAACTGCAAGGAGTGGCGTTCGACGCTAACACCAGTTCCTCATTGTCAGTTGACCTAATTCGAACAAAGTTCCTCCCTCTACATCGAACGTATGCATTTCTGGTGGTTGAAACCGAAGAAAGACGCGGCATCCCATGTATGCATTTCTCATCTGGAGACCATCAACCCCAGGATCTACTCCGACCAGCTGGACTCCTCTCGACGTGACTTAACGGTGACACAAATTGCCTTGTGCTCGGATTTCTTGCTCAAAATCGCACAAGAGAATTTTGAGCAACCTGACATACTCGCTTATTTCAAGCCCAATTAATGAATCAGAAAATAGAGACAAACGATTAAATATTCCTCTAATTATAGGCGGTTACAGTATTATTTACTTTTCCGAAAGTAATTCTCGTATTTCTGCAGTAGATGGGCTTACATAAACTACAATGCATAGTATATAATTTATAAAGGTCCGTGGTACCGGCTGTACTCATTGTTGTTAACAG